GTGAAGTGGAATTGGCTAGGGTCCCACAGAGTTAGTGGAGCTGCCTACTTCAGTACTGTCATTCCTCAACCTTCAGATCTGAGATAAACTACTTCTGTTTGGTGTCTCAAGGGCCATTCATACATACCCTAAAGATGAGTTCAAAATCTTCTCTCCATACAACTATTTATTTCTGCATCCTCTAATTCAGTTAATGGTATACCTTCTCTATCTGCCCTCTGTGCCTCAAGGTAACCTGGACAGTATTCTAGATTGCTTTGATTTCTTCTTCCTTATTCTGCTATCAATCATTAGTGTTCTAACCATTTTATCTTCTAATTATTTATCACATGAATCTTTCATGACTCCTGTCCTTAGATTTTAATTTCTCCTCTGCACTGTCACAATCTCTATTTAGTGTCTATTTATAGTCCCTCAATATTATCTTCTATGTTGCTGATAGTGTGATCTTATATAAAATGCAAACCTGGCATGTTATTTTACAGCTTCAGGCTCTTTAGTGGCTGCATGTTACCTAAGAAAAAAGTCCAAGCTCCTTAGTAAGGACCATAGGTCCTCAAAATATGTGGACCTTTCCAACCTCAGCTGGTACAGTGGCATGTGCCTATAATCCCAGCAACTCTGGAGGCTGAGGCAGGAGGACTGAGTTCAAAGCCAGCCTGGGGAAATTAGTGAGATTGTATCTCAAAACAAAAGTATCTAACCTAAGCACATTCTTCAGTAATATTCTACAGTCTCCTGTTATCTGAGCATCTGATGCTGCTTTACGCTTCTGATCCAGTGTCATCTTCTTGGAGGCCTCCTTGATTCAACTGCTCATATTTTTAACACAGCACTTAATCTGCAAAAACTGTCGCTATGTCCACAGAAGTGTCTAAAACCATTCATGGCAGTCCCTTGCTGAGCCCAAGGCTCTCACCTTCCTATCTCCAGGGCCTGGTACAACAGTGGGCAAAGTAGATTTCAGAAGTTTTGGGGTAGCATTATGTTAAATGAACATCTAGGAATGGGGTCTGTTGGGTAGGGGCACAGATAGGGACAGGAGCTGTGAAAAGAGAATAAAAAAAACTTTGTCCAGAGAAGGTGTTGATTAAGCTGAATCTTGAAGAAAGTGGGGAAACAAGGGTGATAAAAGACATACCAGACAGAACAGTATTTGCAAAGGTCTGAACCCCCAGGAGAACCTGGCACATTTAATAAACTGCAAATGAGGGGCTGAAGTTGTAGCTCAGTGGTAGAGTGTTTGCCTTGCATGTGTGAGGCACTGGGTTCAATCCTCAGCACCACATAAAAACAAATAAACAAAATAAAGGTATTGTGTCTGTGTACAACTAAAAAAAAAAAAAAAAAAGAAACCGTAACCAAGCCTGAAACAATGACACGTGACTTCAATCCCAGTGACTCAGGAGGCTGAGGCAGGAGGATCACAAATTTGATGTCAGCATCAGCAAAAATAAAAGAGGGCTGGGAATGCAGTTCAGTGATAAAGTAACCCTGGGTTCAGTCCCCAGTACTGCCAAAAAAAAAAAAAGGTAAAAATTTAGAAACGAATATGACAGAGGGCAGGATCCATGTGTGAGGGTTGCTGGGCTGGAGATTGGAAAGACAGATAGGGCCCATGCTATTAAAATGTGGCCTACATCTAGATCTTGCAAGAGAATTAAACAAATATTTACTTCAATACTGCCATTACTTCAGGTACGACAATCTTCATGCATCTTCATGCATCCTAATCTACTTTTGATTGCTTATCTGGCATTAGTTGTGTTACTTTTGAGACGTTACCTTTCTGTCTTGTTTGCCTTACTCATTCTTATAAAAATAGTACCTACCTCAAAAGGCTGTCTGAAAAACTAATGTCAATAAAGAACATAAAATAGTGGCACACAAAAAGATCAATGGGTATTTTTATTGATCTTCCTATACTGACAACTGATGAGATTTGAGAGGACGGAAGGGCTATACTTGAAACTCACAGGACGTAACAATTTCAGTTTTTATCTTGGGAAACAAAACTAGCAGGAATCTCAGTTTTATGTTCATGATTTCAGGTAATACTGAAAAATGACCACCAGATTCCTCTGGATATTTTATATTTGGTAATAAGTTTAGCTAGAAAGCATATACTCAAAGTATAATCTGTCCAATTACTTTTAAAGGTTTATGTTATAGTTGCTTATACTGAAGGTCATTTCCAATTTTCTGCCTACTGAGTGCAGCCTTGACTGATTTTCTGAAGTTTACTTCCATTGAATGGCATTTATTCACTTGCAAACTTTTTTTCTTATTGACTCCCAAGTCACTTCCAGCTAGAATTTTAAGAGAAGGGTTCTTAGAAATTGTGTAGTCCAAAATTCTAATTTTACAAACAAGAAAAGTGAAACACAGAGGTTGACTGACTTATCCAAAGTTGTTTATCTTCTCTGAGAACTGCTACTCTTTCCTAAAATGTGCTGTTGGATATACCCTCTATTAATCACAGTGTTTTCAATTTGGGAACTGTGTGCTAATTCCCAATCCTTGTTTATTCTGAGTGAACCTAAAATGACAACATATCTTCTTCTGGACCTTGGAAAACATGATTGTTTTCCTCTTATTTACTCATATTTTGTGTTCCCTAATGATAAATACCTCATGCACGGTGTTTTCCTAATTTCTGCTAAAAATCTATTAGTATGCCCAGTGTCTATAAAATCATTCTCTCCCAAGAAATGTTTCTTTTATTTAACCATTTGACTGGGTAGATTGTGATCTCACTGGTATGGCTTAGATGTTGTTCTAAAATTTGTAAAATGGTTACATCTCCTAGGCAGGCTTCTAAGAAAAATTTTGACAGTCAGTGCTTGACAGGTTCAGTGTTCCTGTTTACTGACGTTGTACTCAGCCTAATGGGCATAAGGCCTACCAGCTCACACTCCTACCTAACCAGTTCTGCTCCAGAGGTGGGCTCTGTTTCTCTGATACACTCTGGAGCCTGGCCAGTCACCTAAAGTGAAGTCTGGTGTAAAGACATGAGCTGAGGGGCTAGGGATGTGGCTCAAGTGGTAGTGTGCTCACCTGGCATGAGTGAGGCCTTGGGTTGGATTCTCAGCACCACATAAAAATATTGTGTCCACCTAAAAAACTAAAAAATAAATATTTTTTTAAAAAAAGAGATGAGCTGATTCAATCAGATTCTTGCTCTTGGGACTATGGCTCAAACTCAGGATTCATATAGTAAAGACAAAGTCTGAAAGAATGCAGAAAGGTAATCCATAAAACTTACAGGTATGAGGGATCAGAAGTTATAAGAGAAACTATGTGAAAGCAGAGGCTCTGAGATAGATAAAAAGCAAGAATAAGGGACTCAAACAGGGGACCAGACAGGAATGGAAAGAGTGGGCTGTATAAAAATATAAGTGTTTATTGCATGAAGAAGTTACACTAGTAAATGTGCCGAAATCTCACGTGGCACCCCATTGATATCTATAATTCGTTTTTAATGTATAAGTTAAAAAATAATTAAAAAATGTAAAAAGGAGTGCACACTCCATTCTCCTGTTGTTAAAGGTCCTACAGGGGCAATCCCTGTTGGTTATCAAGCATAAACTAACATTTCATCACCTGTAAATGAAACATTTTTCCCTTTACCACTACCTGTGGATGCAAGCTCGGTCCCACACCCCCTAATCCATTCTTAGTACAATGGATTTGCTTCTTGCAACCCAAAAGACTAAGACACCTGGGAAACAATCCGGAGCACTAAAGTGAGCTTTCAGTTCTATGGCCATGTGCGACTGAATGGCCAGGTCCATTCTCAAGGGAAGTTTTGCATATGCAACAAACTGGTCCTAACTTTACCACTCGCAGCTTTCTTGTCCATCCTTATTTCCTTCAGAAACAAGACGCTAATCAATGCTCCCAGGGCACGAACCAAGGTATCCAACTTGGGGGGAAATGTCACGAGTTTCTGAATGTCTTCTCTGGCACAACGAAGGGCAAGCCCTCTGCTCCTCCCCGCCCGAGGTTTCAGAGGACCACACCAATCAGCAGGAACACGTTTTTTGGTGGCGGACCCTCATCACCGTCGAGAGGCAGCCGGCGCCCCTCAGAGGTTCCCTGCCCCTGGGAACATTCTGGGGCGCCCGCGCCCCGAACCCTCCCGGCCCCGCCGCCCGCCGGGTCACCTGTAATTATAGGCGTTGAAATGCTTGCTCTCTCTCAGCATCGCTCGGTACAGATCTAACACTTGTGCGCGGCTGGAGGCTGCCATTTTGGAAAAAGAACCAAGAAAAAAAAAGTTTGGGGGGGAGGGAACCCCAAACCAAAAACACCAAACAAACCCCAAATAGGTCCTGTTTGCGGAAGTCCTGAGTTTAACTCAACCCAAATTTCAGCCTATACAAAAGCCACGAACGAAATAACCCGCAGCAACAGTCTTTGCCCGCGGGCGGCCCTGGGCCTAGGTGAGTACCGTGGCGGCCGGCGCCCGGCGTCCCGCGCCTCTTGGAGGCGGGCGCAGGCAGGGCTACGGGCAGCTAAGGGGGCGGCGCGGAGGGGGAGGTGCTCGCGCTCCCGCCTCCTCCGGGGAGGCTCCCGGGGTTACGAAAAGCGCCGCTCCTGCGGCCGAAATGGGCAATGAGGCTGGAAACCTGGGGCGGCCTGTGACCACTTGCCACGCTCCTTGGTGGATGAAGGTCAGCGGCTTGAGCACTGAAAGCGCGCAGCCAGGTCGCCAACCGCCTCAGCGAACCGCCCAGGGGCGTGGCGGAGACATCAGTGTCTCTGAAGCTTGGCTCTTCTTTGCACCTGCCGGAGGCCGCGTTGCCCGGGTTACCGAGCGCGCGCCGCGCCGACGCCCCGCCCTCGACAGCTATGGCTGCCCTCGGCAGTGCCTGACAGACTAATTGCCATTTCGAGGGTGATTTTACTTTGGCTGAGCCCCGTCGCGGATTGCAGTTTGGGTGTGTTCTCTTGGCTGGGGTTGCCGTGTAATAGGCGCCGTGGTGACCTGCCAGCGGCTTCCTGGCGCTCCGGCCTCGCTCAGGACGACTGTCTCAGGGACCTTTCGTGTAGGACCCGCTTTTTGTCAAAATGGCAGCGCCCATCGCGTACTGGTGTCCATGAAGTGGGAGATTGAGCTGTGGGTGAGAGCGTGTAAGCTTGCCGCGTTTCTGATTTTGAAACATCCCGGGTCTGAGCTCCCTGTAGGACGGTGGGTGTGTGGTGGCCTTGCTGCAGCTTGGGGTGTGACGTAGGTGGTTAATATGGTAGGGAGTTTGCACTTCGCTGTGGATTTTTCCCATTTCCGGGATATTCTTTGAGGCTCTTGAGGTGTCCCCCACCCCACCCCACCTGCTCCACGAGTCAAGAGTCCTCAGAATTTTGTGATCAGATATTTAAAATGGCGAGAATTCTGGGTTCTAGATGTTCCTGATCAATTAGAGAATCTTTAGGGCTTTAGTGACTCTCAGTATTATTTGACAGCCAAAGCAAGAAGCTAAGTAAGTTATTTTCCATGGCTTTTTTCAGAAGACTTCGAATTTTCTGAATTACCTTTTTAATGTGGTGGATAAAGTTTCGCGTTTTGCTCGTTGACCCTGGGACTGGGCTCCGGGAAACCTCATCCAGTTCTGCTTACTGTGTTTGTAAAGCACTTTTGTTTTTGGACTGTTTATGTAACCGACTTTGGAAGAGCCATAGTTTTCTGTCCCAAAACATAGCGAAGTTTAATTTTGTATATAAAAACCAAGTTTGCATTAACATGTGTTCTGTTGTTTTATCTGGTTTCGAGACGACCTTTCCTCTATATTGAAACAACTTAGTATTTTCAATAACTCTAAGCACAGAAATCTCTTCTGCGACCTTACCAGGCTTTGTAGTGTAAGTAGAACCTGATGTCCTTGCATGCAAATACTGTAGTCGTGGTGAAATGGCCTTTTAGAAAAGGTGTTGAGCAACTGCTTTAATAAAAGCCCCTTTAAACCACCTGTCTGATTTCTTAAGGACTTCTACGTCTATGAATCTCAAAATAGATTTTTTTTTTTTTTTAAACAGGGTAGCAGAACTTTTGTTACTCTTGTTGATGGGTCAAGTTATTGTTTCGAGTTTGGTGAAAGTACTTGCAATACTTTTTCCTTTGGGATTTATTAGGCTCCATGACCAAGGGAATTACACATTGTTATAGAGCAGGATTCAGAGCTGTTTTAAGATGATACACTGTTAAGTGCTGATGATATAGAATATGTGGCACCTGGAAAAGCAACATTAACACAAGTTACAGATAGACAAAGCTATCAGAGTGAAAAGGATGAACAGGAAAATTGTTTTGGTTTGTTTTAAAATAATGAGAATAAGCCAGGCACTGTTGGGAAGGCCTGTAATCCCAATGACTCTGTAGGGAGACTGAGGCAGGAGGGTCACAAATTCAGGACCAGCCTCAGCAATTCAGAGACCCTGTCTCAAAATAAAAATTAATTTTTTTTCCTCAGGTTTTTGCATCCACCCAAATAAAGCAAATAAATAAAAAAGGGCCTGGGGTGTAATTCAGTAGTAAAGTACTTCTGAGTTCAATTCCCAGTAAACCCTCCCCCCAAAAGTGGGGATTACATTTTTATTGTATTTTGCTTTCATCTTGAAAGTGAGTAGTTACTGTATACATTATGCCTAAGAAATTATAATAATTACTGACTGGTTTTTTCCTTAAGCCTAATTATCAAGGAATCTAGTATACATTGATTATAATGTGTCTCAACTTTCTAAACATATATGTAAAGCTAAAGTTGTTTGGGTAGCCTATTCATCTGTTATTACGATAAATGGTTGAGCTTGAAGTGACAGCGTCCCAGTGTTGGAAGTAAAATTTGTGGGACGCTGTTATGGTTTGGATATGAGATATCCCCCAACATCTCATGTCTGAGACAATGCAAGAAAGTTTAGAGAGAAATGATTGGGTATAGCCTTAACCTAATTAGTGAATCAATCCCTGATGGGATTAACTGAGTGGTGACTGGAGGCTGGTAGGGTGTGGCTATTGGAAGTGGTTCACTGGGGGCATGGCTATGGGGTATATATTTTGTATCTGCAGAGTAGAGACTTTCTCTCTCTGCCTTCTGATCACCATGATGTGAGCTACTTCCTTCTGCCAAACTTTCCTGCCATGATGTTCAGCCTTACCTCGAGCCCCTAGGAAGGGAGCCGACCTTCTGTGGACTAAGACCTCTGAAACTGTGAGCTCTTAAATAAATTTTTCCTCCTATACAATTGTTCTGGTCAGATCTTTTAGTCACGGCAGCAAAAAAGCTGACTAAAACAGAGTCAATGGATTTGGGCTGGGCACCCACAAGTGGATCCAACAGACCAAACCAGCAAAAAGCTTAATTATAGTAACTTACCACTGGTTGGTTGCTGGAGGCCCTATAGCCAACTAACCAATTAAATTTTAATCATTTGATTGACTAAGCTGTGGCCAGTTAACATTTCTGTGCTTCAGTTTTTCTATAAATATAGACAATAGCATAATAAATATAGTCAAATAATACTGTTGGTTGGAGTTCTCAGAACCTGCTTGGGTTCTGGGGTTTCCAAATTCTCAGACTACTTTTGTTTTCTTTGCCCAAAGACACTACTAAATTTAATTGGTTTAAGGAGTTTCCCTTTTAATACTATTTAATGTTAACTTTTTACAAAAAGACCTTATTTGAAGCAATTTACTAGTGTGCTGAACATCATTGCCTATAAAGAGTAACAAAAAAATTACACTTTCACTGCAGGGATGACTATATATTTTTAAAATATTAACTATTTGAGATTTCGAGTAGAATTGGACTAGAAACTGAAAATGAATCTTACTGATGTCCTTCAGTATGCATTCTATTCTGTACTGTGTTTTTTCTTAGGTAATAACTGTAAACTAGAAGGTACCTACCATCAAGCCCCCAAATGTAAAAATTTCCTTAACATTCATGCAAACATAATTATAAATATAACTTCACAGAAGTTTGCATAGTTTTTTGCCTATATAAAATCATGTATTGCCTTTTATTAAAATTAGGGTTATCAATGAGTATTTAATGTTTCATAAAGAGACATTTCTCTTAACATAATAAATAGTAGTTTACTGTCTTTATGCTTAATTATCAAATTGATGTGTAAAGAAAATTTTATATAGAAGCCACGCAATATTTAGAAATTATTGTACTCCATATGTAGACACAGATCTTCATTATACACTTCTCTCTTTCTCTTTTTTTTAATAGTATTTCATTTAGAATTTCTTTTTTAAAAATTTTTTAGTTTTAGATGGACACAATAAATTTATTTTCTTTTAATATGGTGCTTAGGATCGAATCCAGTACCTTACACATACTAGGCAAGTGCTCTATCTACCCCTGAGCCAGAACCCCAGCCCATCATTTGTATTACTTGATCCTTCATTCTAAGAGAAAGCGAAACTGGGAGAGACCATAAACATCATATCAGTGATTTGTACAGAAGATCAAACTGAAATCCTTCTTTTTTTTTTTTCTTTAGCATGAGTGTTTTATGTGTGCCATACATTATAAAAGGTAGTGCAGTTACAGTGATGAGAGCCCCCTCCTCCTAGAAACCTATAGAGGAATAGACAAAACAATAATATTTTTACTATAATGTGTTTGAAAGGTGCTGTGATAGGCATAGTAATACCAAATGCTAGAGTAGTACAGAAGTGGGATATTCAACTAGGGACTGTGACCTAAAGGAAGACTGAATATAGCAGAAGATGCAGAAAGAGTAGCGAAAGCCAGATGATGAATGTGTTTAGAGGTTGCAGTGTATATAAGACATAGAAGCATGAAAGTGAACACCATCTATTTAGGTAACTTTTTGTTTGTTTGTTTTGGATACCAGGGATTGAACTTGGGGGCAGTCAATGACTGAGCCACATTCCCAGCCTAATTTTATATTTTATTTAGAGATGGGTCTCACTGAGTTGCTTAGTGCCTCACTGTTGCTGAGGCGGGCCTTGAACTTGAGATCCTTCTGCCTCATCCTCCCAAGCTCCTGGAATTACACCACTGTGCCTGTCATATTTAGGTAACTCTTAAGTGGTTTGGAGTGGTAGGAGATGAGAAGGGAGGAACATCTAGTGGACCACAGAACTGCTCCCTACCAGCTTCCTTTTAGTGATGCTTACTCTTTTTTTTTTTTGGAGTTAGTCATTTTCCTCCTATGCATTGGCTAAGACATAAGTGAAGTAGAACTTAACAGTTGAGCTTTTGAGATGCAGATTTGTTATCCAGGCTTTTGTTTCAAACCCTGATTTTGAATCCTATGTTGGAGGAGCACTGACATTTCTTTTATCTGTATACTCCCTAGAAAGCTGAGCAGGCTGGTACTTGTAACTTGAGGGCCAAAAATCAAATACTGATTCCAGGAGTTTATAGGTAGTACGTTTATGCATTTGTCCTCTGAAAGCTCACATGTGAGACGATGCAAGAAGGTTTGTAGGAGAAATGATTGGGTTATAGTCTTAGCCTAGTCAATGAGTTGATGGGACTAACTGAAGGGTAGGGTGTGGCTGGAGGAGGCATTGGGTTTGGCTCTGGGTATATATTTGTATCTGGAGAGTGGAGTTTCTCTCTCTGGTCATCATCATCATCATCATTTTCTCATCATCTGGTCACCATGATGTGAGTTGCTTTTCTCTGCTACCCTTTCCCACCATGATGTTCAGCCTCACCTCAAGCCCTGAGGAATAGAGCCGGCCTTCTATGGACTAACACCTTTGAAACCAAGCCCTCAAATAAACTTTTCCTCTGCTACAGTTGTTCTACTGAGATCCTTTAGTTGCAACAGCGAAAAAACTGTTATAACATATTGGATGGGAAGTGCTGCAAAGCAGAGAGGTCTCAAGGTGAGGAGAGGCCATGTCTGACCCTGATGTTTAGGCAACACTCAGACAAATAGCCTGGCTGTTTTAAATTCCCTGGATGATCATAGCTAGAGTTGGTAAACATTGATCTATGGACATTGAGAGGCTTTAAGAAGGAAGTAGTATTTAGGTTGGTCTGGGGCATTTAGGTTTGATCTGGGCCTTGAGAGCAGTTAGGGGTGTGGTTGCGTTGGTAAGATGGCTACTGCTGGAGGAACACTTACCCTTTACCTTGGGCAGGGTA